ACCCATGGTAATTACAACCTTGACCTAACTAAGGAGCTAGGGGGAATCATTCCCGAGTGACTCTTCCTTTGCTAAAGAACTTTGAACCATTTCCTGCTTTCTTACTACTTTTACTTAAAAACACAAATCACTCGACTTAGTTTTCTAGATAATAGATAATCACGGAGTAGGCAGTAGATCTAGACCCCGGGTTGACAAATAGAGCTTGCCACTTTACTGCATTTTCGGATTGTGATTACACTTGGTTGCAGTTTGGTGTTGTGCTTTAGCGTGCCAGGGATCAAGTAAGGCAAGATGGAAATACCAGAAGGCTTTGCGAGACTAAGCCAGAACAAGAGAAAGGAAGAAGAGGTATATTCATCCCACAAAGAAGCAAAAGAGAAAACACGAAGAAACATTTTTCAAAAGAATCGAGCCCCAGTATTGCAACCTCCGGACTTCATGGAATCAATGATCCAAAATCTAGCACCAGTACCACGACAAGGTGTTAATCGAGATGTTAGTATCCCAAGGAAGGAAAAAAGGGTATTTGACCCTATCCCGGTCACGTATACCGAACTCCTTCATCGGTTACTCAACGATCGTCTAATCACTCCTATTTTGGGCGAGACTCTGCAATCTCCATTCCCAAGGTGGTATAGGTTCGATAAGCATTGTGATTACCATTCCGGAGTCCAAGGCCATTAAGCGGAAAATTGCAACGCTCTGAAGATAAGGGTTCAAGACTTGGTTAACACCAGATCGTTGAAGTTTGAATAAGAGGAGATCAATGCAGTCAAAAGCGCGATTCTACCTAGAAGCGGTTGGGTGACCAAGAAGCGTAAAACAGTAAGCTTTTAAGTTTTAAAACGTAGATATTGACTACATTTGTAAGGGAAAATCACGATTCTACGTAGAAGCGTTTTGGTGACCCAAAAAGGTAAAACCATAAGCTTTTAAGTTTTAAAGCGCGATTATGACTGCATTGGAGGAGATCGTTTAAACGTCAACAACAACCCGTTGCAGACTCATGGAAGTCAATTAGCATAACCCCCAATAAATATCGAGATAGTTCGCCACAATAAAGATGTATCACCTTTTGCTTTCATCATAAGAAATAAAAGGTTATTCACGTTTCTACCTTCTCGGAGCATCTTGTGATCATTATCAATCTCGATTTCGGATTTTGCATCAATGGTCCCTATGTTTGTTACACCCCGACCTTTGGGTTCAGGTTCAACCATTATACGTGAACGGTTGGATTAACGGTTATGTATTAAGGATTGCAACCGCGGATTAGGAATAATAATAATTATTATTATTATTATAAAAAAAAAGAGGAAACGGGAAAGAGGGCGCTCGGCCCTCATTGTAATTTTCCATCAACCCCCCCCCCCCCCCCCCCCCCCCCCCCGCGCATGAATTCGTCCCAATTCACTAAGGGGTCGTTTGGAAGTTGTGATTCTTAGAGTTGTGTTTGTTGAATACATGTATTGTGCACAATACAATGTTTGGAAGTGTCAAAGTGTAAAGCAATGCAGGTAGGTCCCACCAATAATTACAAAAAATGATGCATTATACAATCTCAACTAAAAGTTGAGATTGTTGTGATTGTTGCTTTTAGATTTGGGTCAACCTTTTCTTTCCATTTATATCCCTAATCGTTTTTGTCTTATACTAAAAGTTGAGGGTAAATATGACATTTTCCTATAAAAGTAACTTTATGTAAATCAATGCATAAAGTAGAATCTCAACAAACAAACAATGTATTGTTAAAATGTATGCATTGTATCAATACATGCATTTATATTATGGTGATTCATTACAATGCAACGATTTAACATTCGCAACTTCCAAACAACCTCTAAATGTATAAAACCCCAAACCCTCCCGTAGCAGAGAAAACCCCACTCGTCCCTGTTGCTCTCGTCTCTCCTTCCTCCCACGCAAAAACCCACCGCCACCATCATTCACCGTTACAGCTTCGTCACCGTGCCCTTACCCGCCCATTCCACCTTACTTGTCTCGTAGCTCTGCTCTTACTCCTTACCCTCTCGATCATCGTACGCAAGTAAGTCTCCTCCCCTTCCTATTGTCGCTCGATCATTTTTTCTCCACTGATTCTTCGTGGCCATTGGTTGGTCGATGTTGTTCCGGCTGTGAGTAGAGTGATGCCGTGTGTTGATGAGAGGTTTGACTTCCAATTTTTTTCTCGCTGACTAATGGATGGACTGCGCTGTCTTCATACCTGGTTGCTTGGAATTTGGGGGAAAACGAGAAGGGATGGCGGTGGAGGCAAACTCGGGTCAACAGACTTGAAAAAAACAATGAGGAGTTGGTGTACGGTTAGGCGGTTGAATGGAAATTACCCATGAGGGATACAAAGAACAAGTCGATCGGACGCGCGAGACTAGATTATCGACTACTTAGTAAGGTGAGTGTAAAAGGGGTAAATTCTACGCCTTACGTATTTTTCAAGTATCTGCCTTGCGTGTTTAAGAAGCTGTTTTATGTGAAAATGTGTGCTTGCTTATGATTATGGTTGATGATATGTGCCTTGTTTGACTTATGACTTGAAGTGAATGATTATTATTTACCTTGAAAATTTTGTGAGTAAGTTATTGTTAAAGTTTAAGAAACAAGGTCTTTTTAAGAAGTAACTCACCTTCAAGAAGATGAAGTCGTTTTAAGTGTTTTTAGTCGCTAGCGCCAGTCCGTTGCCATTTGAGATTTTCAAATAGAGCAGCAGTTATGCTCTTGAGATCTTTGAGACAGAGCAACAGTTATGCTCTTGAGACTTTTAAGATGGGCAGCAGTTATGCCCTTGAGAATCGTGGTGAAGAGCCACCACGATAAGTTTAAGATGTTAGGGGGATGAATCGATACGACTTCCCTAACTAAGTTTAAGTTTAAGGAAAGCCCGAGTGGCTTCTCATACGTATGAGTTGGCAACCGGACTACCTAGTGAGGGATCCCCGTGTCAGTCAAGTTTTTAAGTCAAGATTTGAGCTTTAAGAGAGGAGAGTAACTGCAACTCCCTCAAAGTTTAAGAGTTAAGATTTTAAGATTGGAAGTACAAACAACTTCCCTCAGTTTGAGTTTAAGTGTTTGAGAAGAAGTGCAAAATTATTAGAAAGTTTAAAACGTAAGGGCGTAGACTGACCCCAACTCACTCACCAGGCCTTAGTAAGGGAAGGAGCGAGAACCAGATCGGTAGCAACTAGCTAGAGGAGCAGTTAGTGAGCAGCGAATTCGAGGGTCGCCAGCTAGAGGAGAGCAGTATAAGCGTCACGGAGGTTGCTTAGTCAGGGTTTTTAGTAGCAGCAACATTAGAGATCCTAGTTATTTGCAGTTTATGATTATGAGTATAGACTGGAGATTAGATTGAGATTTTAAAGTTTGAGTTTAATTTGCCCACATGTTAGGGCTTTACTTTGAGCTACAAGTGTATGTTTTCGGTATTTTATTTGTGAAAATCTATCCCGCTGCAATTTAAGATTTGTGTACTTTATTTATCAAAGGCATTTTGGTAAAAGTAGTACCCGGTCGGGTTAGGGTGTTTCAATGTTTACAAATGATAAGAGTCTATTTCACTTATTTTTACTTGAGTTTTCTGAAACAAATCATTCAAATTAAGCCATGGGATTATCATACCAAACAACTATGAACACCCTACTGGTGTTGAGAGATTACGAACACCCTATTGGTGTTAGAAATTTTGAACACCCCACTCTTGATGAGAGTACAAAAAGCCAACTTATGCTAAGAGTATAAACATCCCACTGGTGTTTGTAAATTATGTGAGATGATAGTTGAGGGATGTAGTGGGGATACGACATCAGGCTATTTTAAGAATCTTGTCACATTTAGCCGAATCCCGTCATCAAAATAGTGTTTGAAAAACTATCCAATTAGCCCAGCCATCAAGAGAGACATTCATGTTGTCGGCCATCAAGACAAAGTCATAACCTTTTTGTGCTCGTGCCCAGAAACACAAATTTCAGTTGAAGAATTAGTGAAACACATAGGGGGCATGACAAAGTCAAGCAAGTCCCACAAACGTGAAAATTTCTAAAGGGAAACAACAAGAAAAGAAAAACATTGCGGGACTTACAACTAGATTCCCCTTTTATGCTATCTAAAGTCATAACCAATCGCAAAAAGGCAATATTTCTGCCAACCGATATCCACAAACAACTTACGTGATAAGAAAACCCATGTGGTCACTACCATTTCACAAGAAGAACTCCTAAATATACCATTCTGGGATGAACCAAGAACTCATTACTCATTCTTGTCTCTCAAAATAAAAATTCCAAGAGAAGGGGGCAATACGAGTTGTAGATACACTCTCTGGAAACCACCAATATTTCCAAGAAAAAGAAAGACTTCCTCGATGAGAGAACCTACAAACCTTATATGAATCCCCTGTTTCCATCAATTAGCCACATATCTTTGGGGAGCAAGCCAAAAATTCCCCGACAAATGTATTCATATAACCCTGCATTACAAGTAAATGGGATTCCAGAACAAGAAACTTCTCACGATCAAAGTCAAAATCAACCGACAACCTCCTTTCTTGAAAAATCATATAGCTCCATGATAAGACCGTATGAAGATCATCTAAATTAATCACACGAAGCTCACGCGTTGAGAAAAATCTTAACCCCAAGCTCATCTGACCGTCAACGTAGATAGAGTCATCTCTAGTGACAAGAATCTTAATGTAGCCGAAGTGTCGTAAACTTAAACATCCATAGGAACGAGTGAAAGCAAAAAAAAAAAGGGGTTAATGACGAGAGTGAGAGATCATGGATATTCTCATGGCTTGATTTGCACTATTCTTGTTGAAACAAAAACAATTTTGAGCATTATGAAAACAAAATTTGTGGCAAAAGTCACATAAGAAAATGTATTTGCTCAATTTGCACACACTTCCTTAAACAAGAGCTTCATAATCTAAAAATGAGCTTTCACTATGTAGACTCCACTTTTTGTCCGGGTTAAAAAAAATTTAATTAAACAAAATTTAGTTTTTATTGAAGATTTGCAATAGCGAATCTTGAATGATCTTCAAGCTAAAACATATTTGTAGCGGTACAATTTGATAGTATTGACATGCTTCGGTTAAACAAATCGGATGATCATATAATTGATGCTAAGACTTCGGCTCTTGCAATGATTGGGTACTAAACTTAATTGGAATTAAATCAAATATAAATAATTCTACAAGCACAATGCCATTACATAATAATTGTTAAATAGTTATTACATTAAATTTACAAACACAATACAACAATAAAATAAATTTAGGCCTAAATCAAAGGCCAAAGTCAATTTGGATCCAAACCCAAAAGTCAACCTGGTCAGGCCCAGTAGACAAGGTCAAACTGGTCAGAAATCGGTCCAACCAAACCCAGACTGGTCCGACCAAACCCCAACACTGTTCCATACTTGGGGAACAAGCTGACTCTCCTATAATAAAAAACACCCCCTCTCTCACGACGACCTCTCTGGACCGGACCAATTCCCAAAAAATAGGCTGGCGATTTCCTTCTACTTCTCCATGCCTCTGCTCACTTCTTTTTCTTCTCCCCCACGCTTTTTACTTCCCTTCATCATAAGGGTCGGCTTTCGGAAAAAATCCAAAACTACCACTGTTAAAAAAAAAATTACAAAAATACCACCCACTCCAAAGAATTTCCAAAAATACCACCCTTTATTTAAAACCGCCTATTTAATGAGCGGTTTCAAATGAAACCGCTAATCTAGGCGGCGGTTAAAGGGAAAAACGCTCCCCCAAGGCGCGGTTTGACCAATTCTGGCTGTCAAACCGTGTTGCCACATGGCGGTGCATCAAACCGCCAATCGGAGAAGCGTTTAGACGGATAAAACGTGTGCCGAGTCAGCAGTCCGTGTCGTCCACAAAAACCGCCTGCCCGAGGCGCGGTTTGACCGTTGGGAAAATGAAACCGCGTATCTGATGCGCGGTTTGACCATCGGGAAACTATAACCGCGTGCTGGGGGCGCGGTTTGTGGTGGCGAGCATTTACTCCACCGACGCTCCCCCACGCGGTTTGAGCCCTATAAAAACCCCCCTCTCCTTCTTTTTTCTGCACACCATCCACCTCCCTCCCTCTCTCCCTCTAACTTCTCTCTACCCAACCCCTTCTCACCCAACCTTAGAATTAGTGTTTTTGTTGGTTGCGGCTAAGTCCGATCTGCCTCCAAAATACTTTTTCTTTGGTTTTCACTAAAAACCCGTCGAACCTCTGTCCGGATTCCGAGAGAATGGCCGATTTCGCCCAAGAAGAGTGTCTTTTTTATGATGATTATCAAACGGTACGTACTCATTTTCCCCAATTGTTGTTGTTGTTATAATGATTTATTTAATTTATATACTAATGATTTATGTTATTGTTATGCTATCGTAGGTTGGGCCGAATGTTGATATTTTCAATCAACGATATTATGTTGATCAAGGACCGATTGATCCGACAGTTTTATACGATCAAGCTAATCATCGTTCAAGAGACGTTTGGAACGACCACAAGGTACATATTATTTATCATCACTTGTGATTTGTATTTTGTTAAAGTAATTTATTTGTTGTACAATAATTTACTTAATTGTTAATCGTATTGATTATTTTCAATAATTTAAATCAATACAATACAACACTTATTGAGACTCTGTTATAAAGAAATGCATGTCTAAGGAAATGGGGACTTAAGCGATCATCTTGATCCCCCCATGACTTGGGAAAATCGGGTTCTAAGCGATCCTCGGATCCCCCCTTTTTCTGTCAAAAAGACTGTGATGGATTGACCTCTTCTTCCATCTGACTACCAGCATGAAAGGCACCTTCACCTTCACTAGCTCCGTAATGGTAGTTGTGGTAACTAACACCGCTTTGATAGAAGTTGTAGTCGGGTGGGTACTGGTAGCCTGCTTGTTGGTTGTAATCCGCCTGTTGAGCTTCTTCTTCATATGACGGGAAGGATTGATGACTTCCTCCAGTACCATGATGATACTCTTGCCTCCAGCTCGACTCTTGGAAATCCTGGTGGGAATGATTTTCGTATAATACACTCCCACCGTGGATACCAGATGTTTGGCCATCTCCAGAATGACCTACACTGCCTTCGACGACCTCGGTGTAAACGAAAATCTCCGCTTGCTTAATTTTATTGGTGGTCAAAAATTGGACCATGGCATCAACGTCCTCCTGAGTGGTAAGGAGGAATTCCTCATGCCACAGCGACCCATCATGTCTGTTTGGATATCGATACACCATTCGATCAACTCTTCTAGTGCCATCCATGCAGGTAATCTGAGTGCACATTTGATGGAGCTCTTCAAGCATCGGTCTCGTACGGACCTTCATTTTATAAAAATTGCCACCGACGTAACTTACACCCTTTTCGGTCTCTTCCGTGTAACCATTCCACCGCAACCCAAGTGTGAACCTTTGGAATGCCATCTGCAATGAAAAGTAATTAAGTTACTAACATAAAATCAGAAATGACAATGGAAAGTAATTAAGTTACTAACATAAAATCAAAAAGGACAATGAAAGTAATTAAGCTACTAACATAAAATCACAAATGACAATGGAAAGTAATTAAGCTACTAACATAAAATCACAAATGACAATGGAAAGTAATTAAGTTACTAACATAAAATCACAAATGACAATGGAAAGTAATTAAGTTACTAACATAAATTCACAAATGACAATGAAAAGTAATTACGAAACAAACTTACGAATTAACGTTAATCGCAAAAACTAAATAATTTAAAGCTTAAATTTTAAGAAAGAAGAGGAGGAGGTGTGAAGAATTGAGTTCTCTGAAACTGCCTTTTATAGGCAAATTTTGCACTAAAACCGCTGGGGGGGGGGGGGGGGGGGGAGCGGTTTTAGGTCTGCCATGCAGCCCTACGTGCCCTACCCCCTGCATGCCGACATGTTGCCTGTCGGGTGACCATACACAAACCGCGCCTTTGGGCAGCGGTTTGATTCCTGACACTATAAACCGCCGCTTGGAGAGGCGGTTTGTGTCCTGACCCTGAAAACCGCCGCTTGGGTATGTGGTTTGTATTGCCGACACTTAAACGCTCTTTTATACAGCGTTTTGTGGTAGGGTTAGCATATAACCGCGTCTTCCACATGCGTTTTGTTCTGGAAATTAAAAACGCTTCCCAGAGGCGCGGTTATTATGAAAAACGTTTCTTCGAGGCGCGGTTTTAATGCTAACCGCTCCTTAGATAGGCGGTTTTAAATAAAGGGTGGTATTTTTGAAAATTCTTTGGAGTGGGTGGTATTTTTGTAATTTTTTTTTTAACAGTGGTAGTTTTGGATTTTTTCCTCGGCTTTCTTCTTCTTCCTCTTTCTTTCTTTTTTCTTCTTCCTCACCTACCAACAGTAGAGAAAAACAGCAGGCTTCTTCTTTGGGATGTTCCTTTTTCCTTACATGGGGGTTCTTTCTTCCTCTTTTTATTCTTCTAAAAAAACAGAGAAGAACTCTTTTAAAACTTCCCTTTCCTCAACCAAAACCAAAATAGACAGAAAGAAAGAGCAATAAATCTCAGCAAAATACTCTAATTTTTCCCTTAATATAACTACTCAGAAAAAGACGGAACAAAGACCCTTCACAGTTTCTTTTCTTGTTCTTATACCAGCTCATAAACCCACACAAACAAACATACAAACAGCAGCCAAAGAACACACCATTCTGAAAAATCCCAGTATCCAAATCAGACTAGGAACACTCACTGCTAAAGGCAGCTTACACAAAAAAACAGACACCAACACATACAACAGCGAAACTACAAAGAAGGAAGCAGCAACAAGGCAGCAAGCAATCCCCTAAAAGTTTGGGAAAAGAGCAATCACCCCCAAACTACAGAGAGAAAGGTTTTTAACCATCTATATCAATCATCATAATCATCTCATTTTCAGTTTTCTTTACAGTACTAGCAGACCATATGTTGGCAGAATCATAATCTACAAAAATCAGAGTTCTTTACTTTCTGTCAACTAGCATTTCATTTTCATAAAATTAATATACTTCTATCTAAATGTATTGCAAACATAATTCCATATTTGGCTCTGTATTCTGTTTTTTAACTGTCTTGGCATGCTCCACCTCATTCCAACACAATCAAGCATCAATACCATAAACTACTTTCCAAATCAACCATTAACTTCAATTTAGAGCACATTAAGTACAAAATTCCATTTTTATCATCTCCCAAGATTAGCGACGCATCCATTTACGAAAAACCCAAAATTCAAAAACCACTTTGAACACCACACAACTTCCAAGATCAGTTTCATCATAAACGCGACAAAATCTCATGCAAAGCCCACAATCTGGTTTCAAAATGTTACCAATTGAAATTGTAGATTTGCGAATCCCCATTTAATCTCTAGAACCTTCTAAACCAAACCATCGACAAACCAAGCCTCAACCAAATTCAGAACCAAAATAATAAACAATCCCCAAATTCAAAAGCAACAACCATAAGTAAAAATGTAGACTGTAAACCCTGAATTTAAACCAAACCACAGTTGAAAGCCATAGCCATTCTTGAGACCCAAATCTGCAAACAAAGAAATCATAGTCAGAATTGCAATAAACAAGAAAAATGAAAACCAAACGAACCCCTCCCAGACTTACCATCAGGTTCCCTTTGATTTTGCCGTCACCGGCAAGAGTTACTCTACTATGTCTCTGAGGGCCTCTTTTCCTCCGCTGTACGCGAAGCCTAAGCGCCGGCCACCCTGTTTCCTCTCATAAAACCAAAACTTAGGAAGTCAGGAAACAAAAGCAAAAACAATCAACTTTTCCATCAAACTAAAACCCCTAGCAAATCCCCAAACAAATCCGACATGCAAAATGAACAAGTAGCGAATCTTACCTCCTCCGCTGTCGCCGTCGCCAGTACAATCATCGGGGTCGATCTTCTTGTCACCGTCGTGCGAACCATCATCGGCTCTAGCATCCACCGCCGCCGTACTCATTTCGCCGCCTCCGTGACTTCTCTCTTTCTCCTCGTCGTCGTTTCTAGAAAAGAGAAGAGAGGGAAAGATGGATCGAGAGAGATGAGAACTGAGAGGCATGAGGAGTGAGAGATTAGACGCACTTTCTCGTTTCTTTTGTCCGCCATTTTCAGAAGATGAGAGTCGATTTCTGAAGTTAGAGAAAAATGAGAGGCAGAAGGGAAGTGACTAGTGAGGCGGCTAGGTTTGATTTAGGTATCAAAATGTAGGTTATACACTCGGCCACCCTGAAAGACCAATTTACCCCTCCAGCTTCGTCAAAATTGCACTGACTTGCATCTTCCATTGAAAAACGAAAAAAAAACAACAAAAATACCTCTCCAATCTTTGACTACGCAATCTCATCTCCCAAACACACCACAATTAAAACCATGACTACCTACTCAACGTCAATGCTTTGTTACATCTAATTTCCTATTAACTCTTAATTAAAACATCTTTAACATGATTGGATCACATTTTATTACATTAATGAATGATGCTCGGCATATTAAATCTATTTAACATATATGCCATCATATACTAACAAGATTAATTGTCCTAAAAAATTAAATAATTATCTTAATCACGATCAATAGAACGTGTTAAGATCTTCTCATAAATCACTTAACATAATCAAACTACATGGACTTTGATCCCGACTAAGTCGGGTACGTAGGCAACCAATAGGTTCGAGTCCAACCAATCTAAAAAATATTTTTACGTCAATAGGCGTGAAAATTATCAATTAAATACAATAATTCAAAATTTACGTCCAATTGAACTCTAAAAATACACTCAAAATTATTAAAATAATTCAATTAAATACATCAATAAAGCCGTAAATTATTATACACCCAACCCTTAAAAACGTATCGATTTAAGTAGTACCCATTTGGGGCGTTGTGGGGGCATGAATACACTACCCCACGCGTAACCGTACTCCCGAAGCCATAAACTCTAAATTTCGCAGACCAAATCCCGGTTTCGACCGGCAAAATGGTGTTCGATCCACCACAATTAAGGTCGATGGAGACTTAGAGCAATTCGCGAGCGAGCCCCCGATCCAGAGGGGCGGTTGCGACACACTATGCTATTTCAACAAGGTTCTTTTCAAACTTTGTTGCATTCATCCCAAGTCGAGGATGGTAGAATCACTCTTTGTTGCGGAAAATTGACAATGAATAACATATCTTTGGGGGCAAAACGGGGACAACTTAGAAGAAAGTTCAAGCTATTAAGTAGTCAGTCTACTCAACTTCTCAACTCCCCAGTTTATGAAGTAATTTTGGAAAGCTTGAAGACACTCAAGTTTCAGGAGACCAGGTGGTCAGTAAATTATTCTTCAATGACATACTAATGGGGATGGCAATGGGTCGGGTTGGGGCGGGTTTTTTCAAACCCAAACCCATGGGTTTATCCGCCAAAAAAACCCGGGATAAAACCCGTTGGGTTTGAAAAACTCAAACCCAACCCAAACCGCTGGGTATCCGCGGGTTCATGGGTACCCGTGGGTTTTTTTGGTAAAAAAATTACAATAACAAGTTTCTTTCAAAATAAAAGTTTAACATCAATTTTCTCATGCAAACTAATCATACAAAAAACACCAATCTAGAGCATACAAGCAAACCACAAATGATCAATACAAATTGTTCAAAATTAAAGATAAACATCTATAAACAATGAGATTTATTGAAAACTTCTTCCTCGTCAACTAAGTTTCTTCACTCTCCACTTCATAATATAAACTTCATTCTAAACAATCAGAAAGAATAAATTATATGTGTCTCCACAAACATAAAGAATATTAGTTGTTTAAGGAAGATATATTATTTAGAAGATTAAATATACCGGGAAAGTAATTATATGTGTGTGGGGCGGTACCCATGGGGCGGGTTTACCTAAACCCAAACTCAACCCGACCCAGTGAATAGTGTAGCGGGTTTAAACCCGAACCCGGCCCAAAACCCGTCAACACGGGTTTTACCTGTGTTGACCGGGTTAGGTCGGGTGGTTACCCGTGGGTTCGGGTTTTGTTGCCATCCCTACATACTAACAAGAAGAAGCACAATGTACTCTGTCACCATGCAAGACAACCTCATAAAAGACCCGTGCAACCTACACTAGGCATCAAGAAAGAAAAGACAGTACAACCTGATACCTCAGGGTTCCCTATATCTCAATAGACTCAATCAAAAGTGTTTATGAAAAGCCAATCCTGACAAGACATACCTCAAGATGATAGATCTTCTTAACCAAGCAAAATATGGCTCACATCGCCACAAATACCACCAAGGGCAGGGCCCCTGGTCGAGCAGATTATTCCAAACCCTAAGCCTAAGAGGTTGGGTTTCCCATTCAACATGTATCAAAGCAACAAATTACCCAATATCCCTACGCCTGCACCATAGAGCCGGATACTCAAAAGCTCGCACTATCGAGTTTCGAGCTCAACTAAGGATCAAGTCTTCCAAAGTCGATGACAAAATTCCTGGTGAATGATCGATTTAAAGAAACCCTAAACAACGAAAAAACAATGTATTTTTCGTATTACATTCTTACACTTAATCATGATATATCATACTATTATTTCTGAAAACATGTCCATCTTTACTTTTGACATGCATTGAGCGTCTCATCAGAACCTCAGAAATTGTTTACTTCAACTTTCAAAGTCTACCAAGATCCCAGAAAATATCACATCTAATTTCATACTAGAAAACCTTAAATCCCCACATTGGCGAACGCTATATAACCATTTCCCCGCGTTGGTGAACGCTATATAAACACGTTCTCGCGTTGGCGAATGCCATATAAACATGTACCCGCGTTGGTGAACGCTATATAAACACGTCCCCGCGTTGTCGAGCGCTTTAGAAACACGTTTCCGCGTTGGCGAACGCTATAGAAATACATCCCGCATTGGCAAATGCTATATAAAAATGTAATTCCCCGCGTTGGTGAACGCTATATAAACACGTTATCGCGTTGGCGAACGCTATATAAACACGTACCCGCGTTGGTGAACGCTATATAAACATATCCCCGCTTTGGCGAGCACTATAGAAACACGTTCCCGCGTTGGCGAACGCTATAGAAATACGTCCCGCGTTGAAAAATGCTATATAAAAATTTAACGCGCCCCGTTGACGAACGCTATATAATAACGTAAATTTCTCGCGTTAGCAAACGCTATATAAAAATACAATTTCATGCATTGGCAAAAAATATGCAGAAACGTAAAACTCGCGTTGGCAAACGCTATAGAAAAATGTGATTTCATCATAATCAGCATTCACAATGCAAACACAAGCAACTACCGGGAACTCTAACAACAATCAGTCATCACTTTTTGGAGTACATTACAATCATCAACAAAATTCTACAAAATATGGCGTCTTTTTCAAGAAATTTGTATGTCTCTTTATATAAAGAGAAATACAAATGGGGCAACTGTAGACACCACATTTGTCCAGGTCTAAGAACTATGAAAAGACTTGAAGACTTCAAACTAAGAAGTGGGATTTAGTCGGCTTGAATACATAAATGGATTACTTGCGGATTGCAATCGACTTAAGAAGCAACATCAAGAAAAGACTTGGTACACAGTTCGGGTTTTGTATTAGAGAGTGTGTTCAATGTTCGAAGGCAATGACGAGATATCTTCATTAAATTTGAAGTTCGTTACACAACAATACACAATTTTTATTCCTAATAAAATGGGCTATGTCTTCTCAAATCCATGTCACCATTTGAGAGCCCGAAGCCAGCAACATCAACCTGAAAAAAGAAGAGAGATCAGTTAGTTCAAGCCCAAGAAACCCATAATTAGAGTTCGGCCCACAACAGAGCCCCGTTCGGCCCAAAATAGAGCCCAAGTTCAAGACTAGACTGAGCCCAGTACTGGCCTAGACGAATTGAAGACAGGGCCAACTCGACCCAATTTTATCCAAGCAGTTAGTCAGCACCGACTTTTGTAGGTGGAGGCTTGAGATGCGGCCTTAAATTCGACCAATCAGAAAGAGGCAACACAATTTCAGCCTCAACAACAACCAATCACAAATGACACGTGGTGCATCCTTTTTAATATAAACGAGCTCTTTCAGCTCTTGTTTTAGGGGGCAAAAGGAGGGCTGAAGAACAGAAAACATAGATTTCATCGTTCTTTATAGAGAATTCATAGACATACATCTTTCATTTTCGTTTTACAAGCGAAGTGGGCGACCCAGAGGCAAAAGCAAAGGATCCTGAGTTCCAAGGTTAGAGATTTGTACTCTTTTTTCTATTTCGATAATAATACAAGTAGAATCATTTACAATCAATCTCTTGCCCATATCCTTTTAATTACTATTGTCCCTATCATATTAGTTTTTTCGCTTAATATCCATTTCAGCTTCCCTCAATTTAAGCGCTCACTAATTACTATTGCTCTTTACTTCAACAATTATTTATTTATTAACTATACTTGCTTAGTATACATCATGATTCATGACTCCACCCTTTTTTACAAGCAGTTATTATAACCAAGTTTTCCTAGTTTTAATTTCCGTTTTTACTATATAGTCGATAACCACAATATTATCACATATAAACAAATTTAAGTAGTATATAGATAAAGTTTTGATCTCTCTAGATCCAGATCCAACGAAAATTACTCTAAAACAATAAAGTTCCTATTTCAAAAACCCAAAGTAGCATTCCATAGTCTAGCATAATCACTAAATGTGAAAGTGATTTATAATCTCCAAGATAAGCAATTAAGAGCATGTTAATTACATCTCCATTACAGAAAAATCATTTTTGGCGGTCTGTGGTATATCAAAAGGTACATATAAAAAAAACATTGAAAACCCCACAAAATCTCAATCAAGGCAATAACCATAAGATTAGTGAAAATTTTAGTCTCTTTTAGCTTAATAACTGCAAGCAATGGCGGTGATCATCGGCTAGCTTCCAATTGTTTAACTAACTCTATTCTTTAGTAGCTTGATCCATAGAATAAAAAATCAGAACACATACACGACTCTAAAATCACAGATCTATAAACCGATTTCAAACTCACAATTTATCTTCTTTTTTTTTTAAGTTCAAATCCCATGATTACCTTAAGCCGAGTTTAGGAGATCCTTACCCAAACCTGTTTACTCTCACATCCTGTAGAAACAAAAATAGAGGGTCAGTACCGACCCAAATCCAAGTAAATAAAACATAATAAAATAAAAAAAAACAAGAGAACCCACCTTCAACGGCGAGCTCTCCGTGCTGTCCCTACTATCACGACCCGAAATGTCGTGACCATGTTGATCGTCTGAAGAACGCTGCCATCTGGTTGTCTTGCCACGAGAGGGGTAAAGGGGGCGACATTAGCGATAAGGCATTGTCTGCCTGTGCATCGCATCTGGCCGAGTCAGAATGTGGCTATGAAGGGGATCGTTGCAAGAGAAGGCACAACTGATCGAAGGCTATTGCTGTCTCCCTGATGAGCCCAAGGCAGGGCGAAACCAGTTGGTATGCGTATGCAGAGAGGCTGGTCTTGAGGAATGAGTGCACCTCAAGATGCCGCATGAACTTCGGAAGTCTATGTCCGTGACAAGTAGAAGCAGCAGCAGAAGCAAAGAGTGAAGGTTGATGTTGATAAGCCGTTAATTGCACATGTTTTTACCCCTATTCTGGAGCCGTTTGAGATGGTAATTCTCGTGTTTTAGGCCGATTTCACGCTAGGTTGTGATTGTTTGTGATATTTCAGGTCCTAGCAAGTGAATGAAGGTTTAGGAGCGAGTTCGGGGTCGATTGGACGAAGATCGGGCGCGAGGCAAGTCAAAAAGGAAGCCACATGGGCACTCACACAACTCGCACGGCCGTGCAAGTGACCAATTTGGCCGTGTGGGATTGTGCGAGACTTCACACGAGCACAGATAATTCCCACACGGCCGTGTGAAGTTGCAGTTTGGCCGTGTGGAATTCTGCGAGGCTTTACACGGCCAGGCTGGGTGAGCTGCACGGCCGTGTGACCCTGGCCGTGTAGGAAGCCTGAAATCCAATTACTCAGAACGCGGCGTTTTGACCTCACACGGGCAACTGGGTATGCCACACGACCGTGTGGCCCTGCCCGTGTGAGTCGGGAATTTCTAGTTTTTACCCAATTTCGGGCTGCAAGTGAGAGAAGGGGATTTTCAGAGCAAAAACAGAGCCCTAGAGAGAGAAAGTACGAAGAACACATCCTAGAAGCTATCTTGGAGCTGGGTTTCATCAAATCGAGCTTGGAGATCGTCATAGGAGTGGAAATCATCATCCCAGAGCAGATTCTTCCCATAGTTATGAGTATGACTGCTTTGTACTATGTTTTCCTCTCTCTATGGAGTAGAAACCTTCTCTCACTTGGGTATGAAGAACCCTAGTTCCATGTGTTAGGGATTTGATTGTAATGACTTGGGATGATATTACTGCTTAGTTTTAATCGAATGATGCATGTTTATTGAGTCAATTGAAGTAGGATCAGCTTTTCCTGATTTCTGCTGCAACCTGAGATAGATAGAATCTGATTAGGTTGTTAGAGCCTCATCATTCGGTAGTAGGAGATTGGCTATACGAGAGTTAGCCAGTTTACTGCTTTGTACTGGAATTCAATTCCAGTAGTGGAGTTCTGTTCTTATTGCTTCAGCTTTCTATCCCGGTGAAGACTAGTCGTCTGCCGGGTAGTTAGACTGAGAGGGCTTGGTCAGCTTAAGAGATTCCAAGCTACTGTCGGATCTTCTGCGGTCTAATCAACAGTAAATCAACCCAGGGAAATTACAATTGAGACCTAACTAAGGAGCTAGGGGGACTCATTCCCGAGTGACTCTTCCTTGCTTGAGAAAACTGTACCAATTCCTGCTTTCTTTCTGCTTTTGCTTTAAACAACAATCACTTGACTTAGTTGGCTAGATAATAGATAATCACTGAGTAAGCAGTAGATCTAGACCCCGGGTTGATAATAAAACTTGCCATTATTGCATTCCTGGACTGCGATTAAACTTGGTCGCAGTTTGGTGTTGTGTTCTGGCGTGTCAGATGTCGAGGGGCAAAGTGGTATGTGCGCGGGGCACTACAGGCTAGCGCGAGGACGCTACCGGAGCCTGTCCATCAGAGGATGTTATCGTATGCGGACGCCCACAATCGGTTCGAGAGTTGCAATACATGCTGCGGAGATAATCATTCTTCACCAGCACGAGGATGTGCTGCATTATGAGCGGTGGAGAATGTCACGACCCGAAATGTCGTGACCGTGTTGATCGTTTGATGAACGCTGCCATCTGGTTGTCTTGCCCCGAGAGGGGTAAAGGGGGCAACATTAGCGATAAGGCGTTGTCTGCCTGTGCATCGCATCTGGCCGAGTCAGGATGTGGCAATGAAGGGGATCGTTGCAAGAGAAGGCACAACTGGTCGGAGGCTATTTCCGTCTCCCTGATGAGCCCAAGGCAGGGCGAAACCAGTTGGCATGCGTATGCAGAGAGGCTGGTCTTGAGGAATGAGTGCACCTCAAGATGCCGCACGGACTTCGGAAGTCTATGTCCGTGACACTACCGCCGGGTTCGCCTCCGTGAGGCTTAATGCCGGCGCCGTCCCCGTCCCCCACCTCTCCTCTCGTCAATAACCAAAACAAAAAAACCAAAAGAGTTAAAATATTAATCGTACCTAAAATAAAAAAAATAAAAAACAAGCATGCATGTTGAAAGAGAAGCTTACCAGGGGTAAGATCTCTTCATCACCGCCATCCTTTCAACAAGAAAGAATAGATCGAGATTGTGATTGAACAAATCGAGAGTCCCACCTCGATTTTGGTCCGATTTCCGGAAATATAAACAAAAAATAGGAATCAGAACTCTAAACCCTAAAATAAAAAATCTAAAAATAGTAGATATCGAACATGCAAAGCAGAAAAACTCAACTTTAACTACGCCCTCGTCGGCGCCGGGGGTGCCCTTCCTCGCTGTTTCTGTCGTTGCCGGAAATAAGGAGAGAAAGAGAGAGAGAGAGAGAGAGAGAGAGAGAGAGAGAGAGAGAGAGAGAGAGAGAAAGAACGCGAGAGAAGGAAGAAGGATAGGGCGGCGCCTCTTTCTCTGCTAGTCGTTTTTGGAAAGAAAGCGAGGAAAGAGAGAGGCAAGGGTTAGGGCGGCCACCGTTGATCTCTTGGATTAGGGTTTCGTTGTCTTTTTTTTGGACGCGAGTGAAGAGAGGCAAGGAACGACGACTGCTAGGGTACTTTTTTTCTTCTTCTGGGAACGAGGGAGAGAAGAAGTCGTTTTTTTTTTGTTTCTCTGAAGCAGAAAATCGACAGAGAGAGAGAGAGAGAGAGAGAAGGCGGCCGGAATAGGTTAGTATTTGGGATTTCATCTTAGAGATGAATATATACCTCGACATTTCAAATGAAAAATTTGCCCTTAGGGTTTCCAAATAATTACGCGGCCTTGCCACTGCATTTTTGAGGATTTACGAAAATACCCTCCCCCATCTCTGAACCAAAACGACGATAAAAATTAGGGGTGACCAGGTTTCGAATCCTCGTTCTCCGGAACGAGCGCGTTCAGCAGCCAACAACTTGACCAGTTGGGCTGCTAGCCCATTATGCATTAATATAATGATATGATCCCAATTGGATCAATCCACAATTCACAATTACTTTCCAAAGAAGTAATCTCAATTAGCTTGACTGATTTTTGGCCAAGTGTTGAAACAGTTTCGAGATGCCTACTTTGGAAGCATGGTTCTCACAATCGGCTCACTGAAAATTGGATTTCAAGGACTTGTTTTACAGATAAAGTTGCCATCTTTCCAATGGTATGCTTTGCGGATCCAGATGATGTCATTAAGGTTGTTTTCCAATGCCTCAAAGTTGCTACCTCAAAATCAATGTAGTCAAAATCGCACTTTAAAACTTAAAAACTTACGGTTTTACGCTTCTAGGTCACCAAAACGCTTTCGTTTCTATGTAAAAACTTTATAGTGTATAAAATCATACTAAATTGCGCTTTAAAACTTAAAAACTTACGATTTTAGTTCACTAAAACGCTTTACGTTTTTACGCTTTTACTTCACTGAATGGGTCTTCTTTTCATGGAATCAATTATATAAAGTAAATTTTAAAAATAAATCACCGCTGATATTAAAAGATACATACCAGATACATGGATGCATTATAAACTTCAATAAAGTAATCTAATTCACTATCTAGGATCTTCTCAAATTCCTTAGCATGGAGGGGAAGGTGACTTTTTTTTAAGATTTATAATTATGAACTTATTATTAATTAAGAGGCTATAAATTGCTCTACTTTAGACATGAATTGCAAGTATTTATTAACTTATCTGAATTTTGTGCACTCATATTTTTCATAGTATATGTCGTACTTAACATATTTTTAGTTCTTTTCAGTATGCGTAAAAAACTTACGTTTTATGCTTTATGATTTTACCCCTTTTCCGCTTCTAGGTAGAATCGCGCTTTTAACTGTATTGCTCAAAACTGGAAAACTGCCTGAAAATGGCTAAGCTAGAAAACTGTTTTGTGAAGCCTACTTTGGAGCTTAATTCGAGGAGTATGGATCTGATTCAAGTCCAAAGGCTTCCACAACATGAAACTAGGTATGTTTTTGAACAAAGGGAAGGAATTGGATGAAAGATTGGAGTTCGGGAAGGCCTTGAACGAAAGGTGTGAAGTTAGTATGAAAGCTGCCTTTTGGCTGTTTTGCTGGCAGCTTACTTGTGCTTCAAGAATGGGAGTTTAAACCCGAATTTTGTGTCCTTTTTAGTGTAGAATTTTACCTTAATTGTTTCCTCATTACATTAGGTTTGTATTAGGTTTTCTTGGCTATAAATAGCGCGCTATTTTCGTTGTAAAAACATAAAATTTGAGTTGAATAAAAATTACTCCAACGTGAGTTTTTTGAGTCTTTGAGTTGTGTCAAGAATCAAATCCTCGAGTTAGTTTTGTGAGGACTCCATTGCTAATTTGAGAACACTTTTCAATCTTTTCTGTGAGGATTCCAGAATCGGTTTACGAGTTTTCTTATCAATCAAGTAAACACCTTGATTGTGGCGAAATTCTACCTATCCGTTTTATCTTTCGTTGAAGAGTTCCGAGCTGGGTATTCTGATAAAAAAAAGCACCCCCTGGTGCTTTATCAAGTGGTATCAGAGCCTGGTTCAAATCAGTGGCGGTTTGTTCTTGACGACTCTGTTTTCTGCGCGTCTAACATGATGGAAATTTCGGCGGAAGAGCTAGCAGAATCAATGTTCTTCACGCGTTGTTTAATCGATGAGAAAGTGTTTTTAGTTCTCGTGGATGGAGGCAGGGAGAGGAATTTGATTTCCTCTAGAATCGTGAGCAAGCTATGGCTGCAATCACAATTCCATCCAGCTCCCTACAGTTTGCGATTGCCATACAAGAAATATCCAAACATTGTGATGTCCCAGGTGGCCGTGGAGATTACGATTGGCAAATACAAAGTTTGGATAATGTGTGATGTGGTGTACGATCTTCCCAGTGGTATTATTTTGGGACATCCTTGGTTTCATGATCGACAAGTTCGACTGGTTAACAGAAGGAGCAACAAATTCAGCTTGCAGAGTCGGAGCAGAGTATTTGTATTAAAACCATTGTCTCCGGAAGAAGTTATTGGTGATTTGAAGGACGGACGAAGAATCCAGGAGGAGTATCAGAAGGCCTTGATAGAGAAACGATGGTCGTGGAAAGTCGATCAAGCCATGGCGCCGATCAGAGTAGAAGAACTCTATTCATCGAAAGCAGAGCAGAGCGGAGAAGAAAGACGCGGGGAAGCATTGAGTGAACCCAGCTCATCCAAAACGATTGTGGACACCCCAGGAGTGGATTCGCTGGAAGAAATCGACACAATTCAGGTCGAGTCGACGAGCTCAATTCAAACTGGGCGCCCCTGTTTTCCGACGGCGATACAGGGGAAGAAAGAGAGTGAAACAGTTGGAAGCCTCGGGGCTGCGTCAGAGCAAGCAAGCAACATCGAAACGTTTGTTGAGACACCAAGAATGTGTAGCAATGGCCAATTGGAGTGAAACCTGTCAAGCCGAAATCCCCCAATTCAGAAATTTCTGACCAAGACGAGTAGAAAAATGAGGCAGAGAAGGTTGAATTGGTTGGGGGGACTGGGCGCGAATCGATCAAGAAGAAGACCATGGGCAAGTTTGGTGAGGTCCAAGGAAGCTTTAGGAACCAACTAATCGACTCAGAGAAGCCGAAATCATCAATGTGTTAATGGCTATGCCTTACTTCATTCGCTCAAAGAGATGAATTCAACTAATTGATTATTTCCGATCACAAAACTAACAAGTAAATTAAGACTTGAGATTCATTAACAAGAAGGGAACTCGAATTAAAATTAGACACCTAACAAGAAGAAGACTAATATAGAAGAGGAGCCCAGATAAGCTTGAGTTCCTGGCAACAAACCCCAACTCAAGCTATCTAGAAACTTAATCCAAACTCAATCCAAGAACTCCCAAAGAACTAACCAGTTCTTACTGAGTTGAGGAAATCGTCGTCTTCTCCATTAGCAGGAGTGGTCGTTAAATAGAATCAGCAACTCCAGTCTTCCATCTCTTTCATCTTCAATGCGATTTACCGTTTGATCGAAGTAATGAAGGGAGAGAGCTGATGCACGAGAGACCTACAGGAACCTTTGACTGTTTGATTTTGATGATGATGAATGGAGGCGAAGACGCGAATAGGGGTCTTGACGAGGTCTAGGAAAATGTTGGGCATCTGGTGGGCCTTTTTGAATGAGTGGGCCTTTTGGTTATGAGAAGAGGGACGAGGTAAGGCCCAACAATCTCCCCCTGCGTTCAAGCCTTCATTTATGCAAACATCCAAATCACTCATTGAGATACCTAGTTCTGCAGACTTTCTAGAATCAAGATAGACTTTTATTTCATGTTGCAGTACGATTAAGACAAGGCAAGAAAAAAAACATACTTAGACCATTATGGTCTTAAAACAAGAAACACACACAGTTGACCATTATGGTCTTAAAACAAGAAACACACATACACATAAAACATAATACTCTATTGTTGAAGATTCCTTTTATTTCTCTAAGATATCTTCTTTAGAGGATTGTATTCTAATGATAGTTCCCCTTTGACTCCCCCTGAGTTTCAGCATTCTGATGATTGTTGTCCTGTGTCTCCTCATAAGTTCCAGCAACTCCTTCCATCAAATCCCTTTCAAGGTCTTCAGCAAAGAGTCTGATGTCCTTCTCAGACATAAACTCAGGTTCCAGTTCAGCCTCTTCTTCCTCAAACGAGATGATTAGGTTTTTGCACACGGAGGTGGAAGATTCTCCAAGTTTCATAGATTTAGACACAAACTTGGAGATGGGTTTGGCTTTCCTAGCTACTAGTTCTAAGGTACCTCCCCCTTTTGAAGTCTGAGGATTGACTCCAATAAACTTCAGGACAGTGAGAGCAGGGATGGAAATTGATGTTTCAACAGTAGAGTATCCATCAAGGGAAATACCAAGATTGGAGAGTAGAAGAGTGATGAAGCCACCATAAGGAAGGCGACCCCCAAGGTGAGCATCAACACTTCGAACGATGGATCCAAACAGCAGCTGGGAATAGTCAATCTTTCGTCCAGTGATGGCATTGGATAGGACCCAGAGGTCAAGTTTGGTGACAATGTGAAGACCATTGTTACGGGGCAAGAACAGATGGGTGATGAAATAGTGGAAAGTGCGCATAGTAGGGTTCAGATCAACTGAGGTGATAATTTCATGAGCCCCTACTGAACGCTGAGTGATCCGAGAATACTCGATCACATGATCAAAGTCATAGAATAAAACTCATCCTCATGAGCAAGAGGAAGGGATCCTCCAGTGGGGAGATTTAGAAGAGTGCCAAGAGCTTCAGAGGTGAGGGAAATGAAGTACCCATTGACCAAAGTGGTGATTTTTCTTGTGGTGATCCCCTGACAGTCCAGGTTGGCATAGAAAATGCGAACTGGAAGTGGGCAAGCAGCAAGGGGAGGGCAGTGAAGAAGGAATTCCCAACCCAGGTTTCTGATGAATGGTGTAATATCGATCCCATAAGATTTGAATTCAAACAGATCAAGGGTAATGGGATCAGACAGAGGGCAAGATGCATAAAATTCATTGAAACGATGAAGGTTAAAGTCAACAGGCTCATTGAAGGCTCGGCCAACATAGGTAACAATGCCACCAGGAATGTTGGGGATGTAAAAAGCTCAGTCATGATGAGAGAGCGACAGTAGGTGTCAAGGTAAGTGAGTCGAAAGGGGGTAGGGACGAAGAAATATATAGCTAAGGCAGAATATCAAGAGTTGCAACAAGGTTTTTTTGTTTTGAAAATCACAATTCATGGAGAAACTAAACATCACATGCATGAACTAACAATTATTAGAAGAACAAGACATGCATAAATGAAGCACTTAATGAACCAACATAAATAAGTACATAAGTTAAGGAAGAACAGAACCGGGTTTAATAACAGTCTTGGATTGAGCAAAGTGACTGAAGACCAAGTTCATCACACAGCTTTATGAATCATTCTGAGGAGAGTGCTTTAGTGAAGATGTCCGCAATTTGAAACTCAGTGGAAATGAAGTTTAATTCTATATGACCTGCTTGTATTATATCTATGATAAAGTGGTGTTTTACCTCAATATGTTTGGTTCTACTGTGATGAACAAGATTTTTAGACATACATATTGCACTAGTGTTATCACAGAAAACATAAATTTGTTCAAACTTGATACCATAGTCAAGGAGTTGGGATTTTAACCAAATAATTTGAGTGCAACAACTCCCTGCATCAACATATTCTGCCTCTGTAGTTGACAAGGCTACAGATCCTTGTTTTTTACTTGACCATGACAAAAGAGAACGACCAAAAAATTGACAAGTACCACTGGTATTTTTTCTATCTGTAATGCTCCCAGCAAAATCAGAGTCTGAGTATCCAATAAGAGATGAAGAATCAGACCTAGGATACCACAAACCAAGATCACTTTTACCCTTTAAGTATCTAAAATTTCTTTTCACAACTGTTAAGTGACTTTCTTTTGGTGGATGTTGAAATCTGGCACACAGGCAGACACTAAATTAAATGTCAGGTCTACTGGCTGTTAGATACAGTAAAGACCCTATCATGCCTCTATACTTTCTTTCACATACAGGTTGCCCATTTAAATCATAACCTAGATGAGTATTTGAAGCTATAGGGGTTTTGCATGGATTGACATTTAACAAATCAAATTTGGATAGCATGGATTGAAGATACTTAGTCTGATGAATAAATATCCCTAAGTCAGATTGATGAATTTGCAGACCAAGGAAGAAGTTTAATTCCCCCATGAGGCTCATTTCAAATTTACTTTTCATGGCAGAGAAGAATAAATCACACATGTTTGAGTCAGTCCTACCAAAAATGATATCATCCACATAAACTTGGACAATCAATGAGTGTTTATTCTATCGTTTAATGAAAAGTGTCTTGTCAACCCCACCTTGACAGAATCCTTGTGAAATCAGAAAGGAAGTCAGTTTTTCATACCAAGCTCTGGGAGCTTGTTTAAGATCATATAATGCTTTTGACAGTTTGAAAACATGATCAGGGAATTCACAGTCTGTAAATCCAGGAGGTTGTTCAAACATATACATCCTCCTTGATTTCACCATTTAAGAAGGCGCTTTTAACATCCATTTGAAATTTTTTAATATTCATGTACCTAGCATAGGCACACAGAAGTCGAATGGATTCTAGGCGAGCAACAGGGGCAAATGTTTCATCATAGTCTATGCCCTCCTCCTGATTGTATCCTTGGGCCACTAGACGAGCTTTGTTTTTAATAATGCATCCTAGTTCATCTGACTTATCTCTAAAAATCCACTTAGTACCTATAACAGTGATGTTAATAGGTCGAGGAACAAGTTCTCAGACATTTAACCTAATAAAGTGAGATAGTTCTTCTTGCATAGCAAGCAACCATTCTTCATCAAGTAAAGCCTCTTTGTAGTTTTTAGGTTCAAGCATTGAGACAAAGGCATACTGACCTGGGATGTGCTTACCTCTGGTATGGATAGGATCAGTCAGATTACCAATGATTTGTGAGGGGGGATGCCTTTTTCTAATGTGAGAAGGGGCTTCCTGTTGTTTACTGAGATTCTCATCTTGTGATGTAGAAACATTCGCTGTTGGAGCTTCTGATGGGTTAGCATCAGATGATTCCTCACCATTAATAGTTACCCCTATCTCGAAAGAGGAGTTAAGAGGGAAAAAATCATGATTGTTAATAAGAGTGTAATGGAAGAGAAGGATGAGATGAGTCAAATCGAATGTGTACTGATTCTGCAATTTTTCTGGATCTTTTATTGAATACCCTATAAGCTTGTCCTTTAGAAGAGTATCCGAGAAAAGTACCAATATCAGACTTAGCATCGAATTTTCCGATTGAGTCTTTGGTGTCTAATATGAAGCATTTGGTTCCAAAAGGATGCAAGTATGACAGCTTATGGTTTTTTCCTTTAAGAATCTCGTAAGGAGTCTTGTTTACTATTTTAAGAATAGTAGTACGATTTATAACATAGCATGCAGTGTTAACTGCTTCTCCCCAGAGAAACTTAGGACAATCAAATTCTAACAGCATTGTTTGAGCAGTTTCAATAAGTGATCTATTTTTCCTCTCCACAACTCCATCTTGCTGAGGAGTTCTATGTGCTGAAAATGTGTGGAGAATACCCAGTTCATCACAGAACTTGCTGAATTCAACATTGATAAATTCACCGCCATTATCACTCCTAACAGATTTAACAGAACAATCATATTGCTTTTGCATAAGAACAATAAAAATGACTTAAATTTAGAGAAAGCTTCATCTTTGGTCGAGAGAAAGAATACCCAAGTGAACCTAGAGAAATCATCAACTATGACCAACACATAAGATTTCCCATCAAGACTTTGGACATTGGTGGGACTGAAAAGTTCCATGTGTAACAGTTCAAAAGATAACGATGTGGTTACATGTGGCTTGCTTTAGAAGGATTTTTTGCATGCTTTCCTAAAATGAAGGCTTCGCATGTAAATTTTTCTAATGCTTTGATAAGGGGCAGTCCTCTAACTAGATTAAGTTTAGACAATTTGGCAAGCCTAGACATACTCATGTGTCCTAGTCTTCTTTGCCAGCTAATAGCAGTATCTGACATAGAACTAAGGCATATATCTTTAGACAGATCCAAGGTGGAAAGATCAACAGTATACACATTGTTGATTTTCTTTCCTTAAAGATCAGAGTGTTATCTGAAATGTGTTCAATAATGCAGCAGGATGGATAAAAAATGACACGGTAAATGGTTCCACAAATTTGACTAATGGAATGGAGATTGTGTTTTAAACCATCAACATATAACACATCTTCAATGATAGGAGAGGAATTGCTGCTAATTGTTCCCTTACCAAATACTGAGGCGCAGTTATTGTTACCATAAAATACCTTACCTCCTCTTTTTGGATTTAGATAAAAAACAGATCTTTGTGACCTGTCATGTGGTGCGAGCATCGAGAATCTAAGTACCAGATGTTAGCACCTTTATTATTCTTTTCAACAACATTGTCATCTTCCAAGCTAGAATTCAGTCCCATGTATGCTACAACTTCAGGCTCATCTTCTGAGTTGTAGTCACTCCAGGATGCAGTCATAGCCTTTTCTTTCTTTTTGTTCAGTGGACAATTGGCTCTTATATGTCCTATTTTACCACATTTGAAACAGATGGTTGAGTCAGATTTATCATTTGAGTTCTTGAAATCTTTAGGACCAGAGTCAGATCTGTTGGAACCAAATGAATTTTTGTCATTTGATCCACCATAATGATGTCCAGATGATCTAGGGGAATTATTAAACATGTTTCCACATGATCTGGGTGAGTAGTTATTGTTGTAACTTCCCCTTTTTGCATTTTGATCATGCTTAAATTTCATCATTCTTTGAAGTTTCTTGTTGGTGAGAGCGAGTTCATTTTCAAACTCCTCATCCAGTTTTTCTTCTTCGACTGCACACACAGACTGAAAGGCAATAGATCTGTTCTTCTTATCCTGAAGAGAGTTCATTTGTTTGAGAAATTCCTCATTGCTAAGAAGAGAACCAATCAGATTCTCAAGAGGCAAAACATTGAGGTCTTTAGCTTCCTCAATAGCTGTTCTTTTAGCCATCCATTCGAGAGGAAGAGACCTAAGCACTTTTCTAACAAGCTCTTTCCTTGTGAAAGATTTTCCTAGTCCCTTGAGTCGATTGACCATGGTGAAAAATCTCTTTTCCATTTCTGAAATGGATTCACCAGAAATTATATCAAAGGTTTCATATTCTTTCAGTAGTAAGTCTATTCTGGTTTCCTTAACTTCTGATCTTCCCTCATGAGTAGTTTCAAGAATTGACTAAATTTCTTTAGCTGATTCACATTTTTTTTACTCTTTCACCTTCATCTTCAGATATTGCAGAAAGCAAAATATGCATAGCCCTAGAGTCTAGTTGAGAACTTTTCTTTTGTTCATCAGACCAATCCTCCTCATCGTCTTCCTTCATGTCAATGGGTCCATTTCGGACAATTGCCCATAATTCACAATCGATTCCTCGGAGGTAAAGACGCATTCTTTTTTCCATACAGAGTAATTAGAACCTGAAAACCAGGGAGGGTTTGAACTAGTTGGGGATGAGTTTGAAGACATAGCAAGGCAGAGGATTTCCTTCTCAGCAACACTTAGCTCTTACGAAAAGGAGGCTTTGATACCAATTGTTAATGGCTATGCCTTACTTCATTCGCTCAAAGAGATGAATTCAACTAATTGATTATTTCCTATCACAAAACTAACAAGTAAATTAAGACTTGAGATTCATTAACAAGAAGGGAACTCGAATTGAAATGAGACACCTAACAAGAAGAAGACTAATATAGAAGAGGAGCCCAGATAAGCTTGAGTTCCTGGCAACAAACCCCAACACAAGCTATCTAGACACTTAATCCGAACCCAATCCAAGAACTCCCAAAGAACTAACCAGTTCTTACTGAGTTGAGGAACCCGTCGTCTTCTCCATTACCAGGAGTGGTCTTTAAATAGAATCAGCAACTCCAGTCTTCCGTCTCTTTCATCTTCAATGTGATTTACCGTTTGATTGAAGTAATGAAGGGAGAGAGCTGATGCACGAGAGACCTACAGGAACCTTTGACTGTTTGATTTTGATGATGATGAATGGAGGCGAAGACGAGAATAGGG